ACTAGAATGCAGATACTATTACCCCCCCTGATAAAAATCTCAGAAGGAGGCCAGGCACAGTGGCGCATGCCTGTAATCCCAGCACTCGGGAGGCTGACAGAGGAGGATTGCTGCCAGTTTGAGGCCAGCCTGGGCTACATAGTGAGTTCATGGCCAGGCCGAACTACATAGCGAGACCATCTTAAAAAAGCAAAAACAAAACAAAACAAAATCCCAGAGGGAAAAATGTCTTTGGTGACATTAGCTCAAGTTCAGTTTAGTTAGTTCTTACTAGATTTAAAAATCTTTAATAAAGGGTCCATGTCTAACTTTCTTAAATAATTCTCACAATATCTGCTATATTAACTATATAACAGACACTTGATGTACATATTAAATGAATGAAGTTTATCTTTCTTACTGGTAGTCTGGACTAAACTTTAACCTATCTAAATTTAAAGGTAGCTTTTCTTTAGCTAATATGCATTAGTGTGTAGTTCTGTCCCCATTACCACCAGTCTACAACAATGCTAACAATCTCCCTTGAACCTCTGTAATCTTAGCTCAGCTGTGACATACCCAAAACAATGAAGCAAAAATACAATACTACATTTCTTCTAACAAATGCCCCAAAGGATATTTATTTCTAGCCATGTGTAGTGGTACATTCCTGTAATCCCAGCTACTAAAGAGGCTGACATGGGAGGACCACCAAGTTTGAGGCCAGACTGGGCAACTCAACAAGAATTTAAAAAATAAAAAGGGCTTGGCCCAGCATGGTGGTGCCTGGCTACGATCCCAGCACTCAGGAGGCTAGGCCATAGGATTGCTCATAGTTTGAGGCCAGCCGGGCTATACAGTGAGTTCAATGCCAGCCTGAACTACACAGTGGGACCCTGTCTCAAAAAAACCAAAAACTAATTACAATAAAAATTAAAGGGCTGGAGATACAGCTCAGTAGCACAGCATTTGCTTAACAGGAATAAAGCCCTGAGTTCAATCCCTAGTTCCAAAACAGAGAGGGAAGGAAGGAGAAACAAGCAAACAATGTATCTTCCTTTTAAAAAAGAAAGATACTTTAAGAACACTGAATATCAGCAATCTCACAAAGTCAATGTCCACTTTTATTGTTATCCATCCCCATAATTATCTACCTCTGTAGGAAGTGAGACTCCATACAGAGAACGGCATTGGGAAGAGTAAACTAGAATGTAGGGAAAGGAGGATGAAAACACCTTCATTTAGAATGTGCTTTTCCTCTTTTAACATCAACTGTTAATATAAACTTTCTGCTGGTAATTTAGTATTTTGGGAGAATTTTCAAGTAATAGTCTGAATAACACCAATAGTTAGCTGTATATAGTTGAAATCTATTTCTGTGCCTTGGTTTTCTTCTTTGCAAAATAAAGACACAGCAGTCCTTCCTAGCTCAGTCTCTAGAGCAGATTCCCCCAACACTCTCAGTCTCAGTACTTTTCTCAAAGTAGTCCTATGCCAGGAAATGCGGAGTTAATCTTTCTACTTATTAAGTAGTTGTTAGCCACTGGAAAAAAGGTCTACCTAAACTGAAAAAAAACAAAAACAAAAAAAAAAACACTTTTATTTCACTCTTAAGTAACTATAATTATGGAACATTCCTGTTGGACACTGAACAATTCCTCAACCCTTGGAATTAAAGTGCACACTGCTGTTCTATTTTCTGTTACGTGCTGATTTTCATGATTTGGCGATGGGGCATTTTTTATTTTTATTTATTTATCTATTTATGTATTTACGTATTTATTTCCAGTCAGGGATTGAACTCAGAACGTTGCGCTTGCAAGGCAGGCAACAGTACCACTGAGCTAAATCCCTAGCCCAGGGGATAGGGCATTTTAAAATGAAGCCACAATATCAAGTTCTACCGCTCAGTGGTTGTACCGCTTGCCTCACAAGCACAAGGTCCTGAGTTCAATCTCCTGTACCAAATAAACAAACTTCCAAGCAAATTTAAGAGAAAGATAACACAGTACTTATAAAAGGATAAGTCATAATTACATCCTTCTAAAGGATGTCCCAATTTGCCAAAAAATTTTATAAACGAGGCTTTTTTAAATGGCACTAGAAGTGCCTAAAAAGTATTAAATTTAGGAGCTGGGGATTTAGCTCAGTGGCACGACACCTGCCTTATGAGTGCAAGGTCCTGAGTTTGATCCCAGTACCAATAAATAAATAAATATTACTAAATTTATAGAGCGCAAAACTCATAATAAACTCAATAAAAAGATTTTTTATTATGAGTATAATTCAATATCATATTTAAAATTTTTAATTCCAAATGCACTCGGGTCACTTATCTGAAAAAAAAACTTTAATGAAATCTGTAATACAAGAACATTTGTAAGTGCTTAGCTTATGTAAGGATTTTTGAAGCATTATTTCATTTGATCTTCAGCTATTATCTCTACTAAAAAAAAAAACCTGAGGTCCATATAAATTAAATGATTTGCCCTACAATCTACACAGTAACTGCTTAACACTAAAATCACGGTCCCTCCCACCACCTTTGATTTTTTTTTGAGAGTGGATCTCCTGTAATTCAGTCTGGCCTTGAGTTCACTGCAAAGACCAGGCTGGCCTGGAACTCACTATGATCCTCCCACCTCGGCCTCCAGAATACTGGGATTACAGACATGTCCCATTGGGCCCAGTTTAAATATCCATGTCTTTTAAAACCCTCTATTACATCACAACTCCTTCCTAAAAAGACTCGGTTCAAGTCTTCTAGGGTGCACCGCCATTGTTTAAATAACTATTCCATGTAAGCTGTCCATCATCAAAGTTCTGAAAAAAATCTTTTTTCACTCCATATGCAGAAACTTTTCATTTGCCAAGTGTCTGGACCTGTCTAACTAATTAATAATTATTCTTAGATCCTCTTGTGACAGGAGCTATTATTATCAATTCCTTAACAACTATACCCAACAGTAATTCAGTGGCTGAGCAAAATGATTCCTCTTAGCCCACCTTTTTCCCATTTGTATTCAGCTAGTGGCCCAGTGTTCAATGCCACAAGTATCAAATTGACTCCAATATTTCTTCTTCTTCTGGTACTGATACAAGCTAAGTGCACTGGTCAAAATACTTAAAAGGAATTGAAAGAAGCAATCTTCCACACTACCCAAAATACCATGCCATCCCAAAAAGTCTAATCTTCAACTTAATTCAAGTAGACTCCAAAAACAATTTACAAGCAATTCATTCTCTAAATTCCTACATTTTTCCAATTTCAGTAAATGTGCAGCCAAAGCAAGCACATTCCTACATTTTTCTGATAGATATATTATTTCATAAGGCATCCTAAAAACAATTTACTAAAGAATCCTGCTTCACAATGACTTTCCTTGTTTTAAAATGTAAATGCAATTTGATAGTTAAATTACTATTATTAGGTTAATTTTGAAAGTTCTGCAGAAAGTCTTCTACGAGATAATTAAACACTTCCATATTTTATAATATGTTAAAAATTCAACCTTTTGTAAGCCATAATTTGTTAAGGATAGAGAAGAGCTATAGACCTGAGTATAGCTTCTGTATTAATGCGAGTATTTGGTGGCTGAAACATCATTCATACTCTCTACAGGTAATATTTTGAATAACTTCACACTTGGGCCCTTCCTAGCATGTAAATACATACTCTGTTAACAGAAACTTCTTCATTTCCGCAGAGAATAGAAGAGCGACACTGCTGTCTTGGAACGGAAACAACTATCTGTCTTGTACAACACCCAATCCACTCTGGCCATCTAATACAGACTTAAAAAAAACCTATTTGCCCACGTTTCTTCTTCAGCCAAGGGCTGTTCCCAGATAAAGGCAATGCTCAGAGTACAACAAATAAGCCTTCTCTGAGAGAAGAAATGTGCCAGAAAAGGAGCGGCATGGATCGGGAATAAATGGGGGTGAGTGCTAGCGCTCAGTGTGAGGGCTGGAGGCAGCAAGCGCAACGCTGAGATGCTCCAGCAAAAGAACCACCAGCAGCAGCAGGAAGTTTCAATGGGGCCGGGCAGAGCATGCGCCCTGCACCCGCGCGGTGGCCTTATGTGGAAGGAGCACCACTTGCGAAGACCAATAATAGACCAGAGGCACCAGAGAGAGAAACATGAGCAACAAGCACCTTCTTCAACTGTTTCCCCCGCCGTCAAAGCCCCTCCTCCAGCCTACAGACGAACCACTCCACCCAACCCTGCAAATGGGAAAGCGACTTCTTCTTTTCCCTAAACCCTGCGGCCGAGATGACGGGGGAAGGGTTTGGAAAAGTGGGGAGATGCTTTTCTATTATTTAGGGGGAGGTGGGGAGAGGAAGGAGGAAAACTATGGAGGAGGAGAAATTAACCCTCTCCTCCCCAAAGTGGAGAAGCTGAACAGACTTCCCTACGCAAGAATGGAGAACCCCCTCCCCTGCCTTAAAAGCAGACCTCCCTACTCCGAGAAAGGAGTTTGGGGGGTTAAACCAGTCCTGGAGGGGAAGGAAAGAGGGATGAGCCTACTCTCGGGGGAGTTCCCACCAGAGGGAGGGAGATGGTGTCCACCAGCCTCCGCCCACTCAGGTAGAGGGAGATAAGGGGGCGCCCCAGAAGATGGGCCCCCGAGATGGTCTGGAGGCTCGGTGGGAAGAGGGGAGGAGTAAAAAAAGCGCAAGGGTGGCTGGAACCTGCGCTCCCCTTCCCCCGCCACCTAGAGGGAGAAGGGGTGGGGGACCAGCCCGGACGAGCAAAGACATCCCAGGGGCCGCCGGCCAGCACAATGACCCCTCCCCGCCCCCAGCCCACACCTACCCGCGACGCTCCCACCTCCGCTCCCCGCGGGGCACTGTGGCTCCAGGGGGCCTCGCCAAATGTCTCATCAGACAATTGAACTTGTTGGTACTTAGATTTTAAATTTCCCATGTGCCAGAACTGGGAGAAATAAATTACTGTTCCTTATTATTAGAACAGCACACCAGGGCGGCTTCCCGCCGGGCGTTCGGGCCCCTCGCTTACCTTCTCCGTGGCCGACGTCCGGCGGCGGCGCTTGCAGCACCCGCTCCAGCTCGGGGAACGGCAACTCGGGCAGGTCTAGCAGCGGCCCGTAGCGCTCCAGGAAGGAGCAGACTACGGCGAAGTTAGGGCACGATCCTGGGCAGCCCGGAGGAGCCATCGCCGCCGCCGCTGCCACCGCCGTCGCCATTTTGAACTGGAGGATGGAGGAGGAGGAGGCGATGGGGGGGAGGGAGGAGTTGGGGTGCCGAGGATGGCAGGGCGGCCTTGCAGTCGACAGGAGGCGCTCTCGAGTGGGCTCCCCTGCGGATCCCCGCGTCTGTAGGTCCGCGCCGCGATCCCACAATACCACGGCAGCCCGGAGCAGTCGAGAACTGAGCCAGTCGGGGGACAGAGAGGCGCTCTGTGCCTTTCACTTTCCGTCCTCTTTCCGCCCCCTTTCCTCCCTCTACTCCCCTCCCACTTCGGTTTGCCACTGCCTCGTGTGACAGGGGGAACGAAAACAAGGGAAGCGGGGCGGGGAGGCGGGCTGCAATTCGGGGGCGGGACTTCGGGAAAACGATAGCCAATAGGCTCGAGGGGGCGGTGCCTGTGTGCCCGGCCCCAGGACTCTAGTTCCCCCGCGGGGAGTGGAAGAGCACCTGGCTGAGAGCCGCCGGGCCCTCGGAGGCGATAGGGAAAGTGTAGAGCAGTCCGGAGAGCGGCTTTGAGAAGAAAAGCGCTGTGTGAGTTTTCGCGGACGTGAAGAGTGAATCTAGGAACTAAAACGGCCGCGAGATAGAGGGGGGAAGTTGAGAGAAAAATAAGAATCGGAAAAAGAGCAGAACTGGGAGGAGCGCGAGTGTGGGAGATACAGCGGTGCAGTGAATTAGGCGTTGGGACGGGACCGTTGTCAGAAGTGCCCGCGGGAGTTTGCTGAGGGCTGTTCCTCTCGTGGGGTACGAGAATCGGCTACGTGCTTTCTGGGATCCCAGAGCGAGGAGTTGGGCCCTGCGGGGCGGGCAAGGTCTGTAAGACACCGACTCTGCGGAGGTCCTGGGTAGCCAGCCCCGATGAGGACCCCAGCCCTGAGGGCCCACGGTCTCAGGTCAGGCGAGGCTCTACGGGGGCCGGATGGACGGGTGGACTCGGCCTCCACCGAGGGCGGACGTGCTAGGAGACGGTGGAACAGCAAGTAGTTTAAGACAGCTCTGATCCGTAGGCGATAGTCGTGTACATTCTCCCACAAAGAATCCCACTGGAAAAGAAAAATGCCAGCAGTGCACAATACAGTGTGCAGGTTAGGACGCAACTCGGCCCGATTGAGTCCTACCAGAACTACTTTATGACCTTCGGGCCCTCCCCTGTTTCTTTGAGCTTCTGTAAAGTGGGTTACTGTATTAATAGTACCTACGTTGTAGAGGTTTAATGGGTAATTTGCAGTAGCTCAATGCCGTGGCACATTGCAGACACTTAAAAATATTCATTGTTACCAGGTGTGGTGGCGCATACCTGTAATCCCAGCACTAGGGTCGCTTTAGTAGAAAGATCACTGTGAGTTTGAATTCGAGGCCAGCAATGAGCTCCATAATGAGTTCAAGGCCAGCCTGAAGTATCTGGCGAGACTGTCTGAAAAAAGAATTCATTGTTGCTATTAGAGAAATGTGTTCTTTTAATTTAAATTGTATTCAGCGACAATTTATAACTTCTAGCCAAAACTTTCAGTGCACTTAAAATTTACTTCCTAGAAATAATTTAAAGCAATGTACAATCCAAAGCACATAAAATAGGAAAATCTATGACTGAAGGAGGATAAAGAACTATATGATCAAATAATTATATCAGGATCATGGAAAATAGTTACAAAGTTTCACACTGAATTATATTGTTTTCAAGTCAAAAAATTGAAAAAGAAAAAAACCGTAGTGGTCTATATTATCCAAAGAATTTAAAAGTACTTATCAAGAGAGAAAAAAATTCTGTAAAAAAAATTTATTACCCAGAATAGTACTCTAAATCTGACTAATCAACCCTGTTAAAGGAACAAAAATTATTTTGATGCTTTTCGCAAGCGCAAGGTCATGAGTTCGATCCCCGGTATCCAAAAAGCAAAAATTATTTTGACACTTGGCAAATACCTCTGAAAATTCCAGTTTAAGAAACACTAATATAAGAAATTAAAGTCTAATCGACAATGTAGATCTATTTAATGCTACTGAAGTATACACAGTACTTAAAATATTTGAGTTCGATCCCCGGTCCAAAAAGCAAAAATTATTTTGACACTTGGCAAATACCTCTGAAAATTCCAGTTTAAGAAACACTAATATAAGAAATTAAAGTCTAATCGACAATGTAGATCTATTTAATGCTACTGAAGTATACACAGTGTAC